TTCCGGCTCCAGTGGACTTGGTCCAGGGAAGACACCCGAGGAAACAAGTGAGGTGTTTCGTTATCGTGATTGCGTTCAAAATTCTAGCTTGTTTGCAGATTTTCTATTCTATTCTATTCAGTTTATTTATATAGCACTAAATCACGACAAGAGTCATCTCAAGGCAATGCTGTTCAGTCTATTAAGTCAATCAGTAAAAAGTTTCCTATTTGAAGAACCCAGCAGGTTGCATCGAGTTACTAATTAGTGTCAGTGCCTTTACAGCAATCCTCATATAAAGCAAGCATGCAGCGACTGTGGAGAGGAAAACTCCCTTTAAACAGGAGGAAACCTCCAGAGGATCCTGGCTCAGTATAAGCAGCCATCCACCACGACTCACTGGGGATTGCAGCTCTAACTGTATGTCATAGTTAAGAAGTTGCCACTGAAACAGCTACCTCTGGAAAACAAACATAAAATGTCATTCCAAAAACGTTTAGCCACGACTGCAGATGTGCTTTTTTTTAATTAAATTTGCAACCTCAACACTTTTTATTGACGACTTTCTTATTTTCCATCAATTAAAAAGGTTTCCATCTTTCTAAAACTCAAACATTCGTCTTTGACAATGTTTGTTTGGTGCTCTAATTCCATTTAGTGTAAAGTGTTTGTCATGTACACTCAGATCATATAAACACATCAGAAACAGTTGAAAGAATAAAAGCATGTAAGGAAACAGTAGAGGAAGAGTAGTTCTCCAAACACTTATTAACCAGGATAATCTAGGTGATACATTGAAGGAACTTGTTATATTACCTGCCATATGTAATGAGAGCTAGGACAGATTCCTCACACACCTCTTATTCACATGTACTATCCACACCCTGCCTCGCCTGTTAACATGGACACAATGTAATCACAGCTGTATAGCAAACAGGGGATAAATGACTCACTCAGATACAAAAACCATTCAAACAATCAGGAATTTTGTTATGTTTTAAAACTTCAAGAAACTTAGTCATTTAATATGGTAAAAACACTTGCCAGTGTTACTTAAGACTCTGCAGCCTAATCATCTAAAAAGTGATTGTATGATCTGATAGAACAATACTGGCTTCCATGTAGCAGAAGGCCAATCACCATGTAGGTGTGAGTGAAGATAACTCACAAGACTGAGAGCTTTCGTTTATCTTCTCAAGTGGGAAATTAAACCATTTGAGTACATTCTCACCACACACTCCAACTGCAGTTTCCAAAGAACAAATTGATGTAGTAAGTCAGGATGCTCAGTAATGTATCAGTGCAGGTGGTGAGGATAAAATGGGAAGCATAGAGAATGAAATTCTCAACTGATGAGTTCTCCAGAGGAAGTGGATCCTCTGAATCATTGTGATCAGAAACTGCTTGATTTTAATCGTAATTAATAAGACTCATCACTGTTGCATCCACAGCAAACCTGTTGAGATAATTTGTGAATTTAGCAGTAATGTTGTGTGTTAGCAGAACAGAAACTGCAAGGGACTGAGTAAACATCCTTGAGGGACCCCTGTGCTCAATTACTTACTATGTAAGGGTATATACATAAAATGATTTAGAGGGAGTGAGGCCAGAAAATCATTTTAGGCGAAAATCATTTTAAGCCTTTTAATCTGTACAAACATTTTAAGACAGAGAGATGCAGGGAGTCAACTGCCATGCTGGTGATACTTTCTTTAAAATGATAGTCCTCATGTCATGTTGTTGCTCCCCTGATCCCTGTGAGTTGGGTTTACCTTAATTGTGTCCACCTGCCTCTTGTTACCTGCTTGTTAGAAGCATCCTTTCCAGGAGTGATGCTGAAAAACTAGTTCATGCATTTATTACATCAAGATTGGATTACTGTAATTCATTACTCTCAGGAAGTCCACAGAATGTAGTTAAAAGTCTTCAGCTTGTCCAAAATGCTGCAGCTAGAGTTCTGATGAGAATTAAACAGAGAGATCATATATCTCCTGTCTTAGCTTCCCTACATTGGCTACCTGTTAAATTCAGAATAGATTTTAAGATTCTTCTTCTCACATATAAAGCTCTTAATAATCAAGCTCCATCATACATAAGTGATCTGATTGTTCCATACGTTCCTAACCGAGCACTTCACTCTCAGACTGCAGGTTTACTGGTGGTTCCCAGAATATCTAAAACAGGATGGGAGGCAGATCTTTTAGTTATCAGGTTCCTCTCCTGTGGAACCAGCTCCCAGCTTTAGTCCGTGAGGCAGACACCTTGTCTACTTTTAACACTAGGCTTATAACATTTTTATTTGACAGAGCCTATGGTTTACATCTGATGTTAGCCCAGATCTGGACAAGTGGAGGAGTAGAGGGAGGTGGAGTGTGCTGTTGGTAAAGACGGCTTTCCTTTGCCCTGCCTCCAACATGCCTCCATCTAAAATGCTAGGTTATCCAGAGTTATCTCTGTAGTTATGCTGCTTGTAGGCTTAGACTACTGGAGGACATACTGACAACTTTCCATACTCTACTACTTTCTTCTACAATTTGCTCTTTAACTGTATTATTTCCTGCTATTTCAGCTGTTAACTTTATTTTCTCTCTAAGTGTTTTTCTCCCTAGAAGAAGCTACAATGATGTTCTGCTGAGCTGTGGTGGCCTCATGGAGGGGGCCATCGTCTAGCACACTGTTGCTAACCACTTGAACATTCTCCCTCTCCTGATAATAACTTTTTACTTTCTTTGACATTGGATGTGCTACTACTAGTTTATCCGTTTAATTATAGATTCACCAGGATAAATACAATAAAGTTTATCTCTCACCAAATAGAATATTTACTAAGAATCACAATGTAACCATAGAAACATTACTTGGTATATATGTTGTGTGTGTGGATGTGTGTTTGTGTGTGGGTGGGCTGGTGTTGGTGTATGCGTGTGTCTGCTCTGTCTTCTCAATCCCCAGTGAGTCGTGGAGGATGGCTGCTTATACTGAGCCAGGACCCTCTGGAGGTTTCTTCCTGTTAAAAGGGAGTTTTCCTCTCCACTGTCGCTAAATGCTTGCTTAGTATGAGGATTGCTGTAAAGTCACTGACACCAGTTAGTGACTTAATGCAATTTGCTGGGTTCCTTATATAGGAAACTTTTAACTGATTGGCTTAATGATCTGACCTGTATTGGAATGTTTACTATGTGAAGTGCCTTGAGACGACTCTTGTCATGATTTGGCGCTTTATAAATAAACTTGAATTGAATTGAAAAATATTACCCATCCCAGTGTGTATATAAGCCTTATTTGTTGTTAATGTGTTTATCGGTTCATGCTCATTACATGTCAGTTTGTTTTTAAACCAGTCTACCCTGTTGTGTCTGCACTTCTGGCCAATAAAGAGGAACCAGACATCCATTGTTGTTTTGCCTGGGTTGATTTACCTGCCTGAAGGATTTGCTCTTCCTCCCTCACCTTCCTCCCCCATTGTGATACCTCAAAAAGCAAATTAATCACTTCCAAAAGCACTTTTACAAAATCCATTTAAGATGACAATGAGTCACACACTTTTTTTGCTATGAACTGTCCAACAAAGAAAATGTAAATCAAAACTAGAGATTGTTTGAAAGAACTGGCTCAAAAAACACCCAAACGTCCTAATCCCAATTTAAACAAAAACAACAGCAAAAAACATCAACTCTTTCTGCCTTGCATACAGACTCCACCTGCTGGAAAATCTCTGTGCCAAATGAAAGTGCAATGCTTTCTTGTAATTTATAGATAATTGCATACATAGATGCATCATGAAACAGAATTCAAGATTAGCTTTCCGTCCCCATTGAGTTTGCTTTTGTTACTCATTGATGATAATAGTGAAAATTTAGGGTGACAAGTGAAAACCCCTCCCACCCACTGCATTCCACTGAGGTGACCATGGACATCCCAGATGTAAAACATGATGCCACCACAGGTCATTCATCCCCTCTGCTCACAGTTTAACTGGTACTGGCATTATCCTGTTACACAATAATATCAATGCAATATTCAGAATGTGTTCAGTACTTGTGCTATTTTGGATGTACATTCATATGTCCGTGCCCCTTATGCTGCATAGTTCTGGAAACCCAAGTTTCCTTTTTATTTATTGTTTTTAGTGGTTGAAGGTTATGTTACACCTTTGTGTGTTTACCTGTAATCTTGGTATTATTTTCTTCTTCCATTTCTCTAATGGGCCATTCCCATCTGTACCGGGTCGGCCCGGGCCGGGTAGCCCCAGTCGGCCCCAGCCTGGCCCGGTTGATTCCACACATCCTTGTCTTAAGCCCATGTGGGCTGATTCTGCCCACCAATCAGAGGCTTGCTCTAATGGAAGGTGTGAATTTGCTGTCAGCAGTGGGTGTGTTGGCCCTGGTCGGCCTGAAACAGACCCCCTCGAGAAGAGGGCTGAGAATGAGCCTTGGTTGGCCTGGAAAAATACCAGGCCACCCAGATATGTAAACAACCTACGCTACCCGGCCCGGGCCGACCCGGTACAGATGGGAATGGCCCATAAGTGTCTGTGCTGCTGTAGCAGGTGAATTTCCCCACTGTGAGACGAATACATTCTATTCTATTCTATTCTATTCTATTCTAAAATGTATGTTTTTAACAAGAATAGTGCTGGTTTGGCTTTATCTCTTGATTTATCTTGTAAAACAACTTGTCTTTTCTTTAGATTTGTCAATAGCTAGGAGCTCTTTCCAGCTGACGGAGGGAGAGACAAGGGTACACCCAGCACAAGATACCACAAGAAAGACAAAAAACATGCACACCCATAACTACAGTCAATTTAAAAGCTACAATTACTTCAGACCAAAAGTGGAAACCAGCAGCTTGGGGGGGTTCTCCAGTGGCAACAGAACGAAATACAAACTCCAAACAAAACCAAAGTTATTTGTTTGAACTGAGGATTTTCTTTTCTCTCTATTAAAGGGGCCATGCTAAGTGTTGTACCAGTGAGTCGGCAGAAACACAGATTACCTGTAAATAATGACATCTCAGACATGTTCCTCCGAAACATTGTTTAGTAAATATGATCTTACACGAGTAATCAGCAGCATAAAAAAAACTAAATAAAAAATCATCACTAGAATTAACCAAATTCTAATTTTTAACTTGGACCAGCAGAAATAACTTAATGTATTTTAAACATTATTTTTAATTTATAGTCCACTTCAGATGCTTTTATTCTGACATCTAGATGGAACTTTATGTCTTCTCCTGGCACGTAAAACCTTTAAGACACATCTGATCCACAAATATTCACCTTTATTAAACATTCTGAAATCCAATATCAATAGTTTGCCAACAACAACAGAAACCTTAACCTGGCTTTGACTGCTGCTTCTTCTTTTATTATTAATGTCTCCTTCTGACTCAAACACACACTGAGCCTCATACAAGATACCAACCCACTCTCACAACACCACCAACCACATCTGAAACTGTGTCGGGCCTTCAGGCCTCGTACAGGGGAGTGACTGTGCCATCCTTCCACTCAATCAGGATCTCTCCTCTCTGGAAGGTGGGGGAAGAGTGTGGAAGATGCATGGCATGCTGGGTCAGAGGAGCTCTTTCACCTGGAACCGGAGACCCGGGAACACTCGCATCTGGCCTTGGAGTGTACGACTTCAAAACACAAACCACTTTTTTCCTTCTAGAAAACAAAGAGACAAAACTAAAATGAGGAGCTGTGTTTGACTTTTTCTAATAAAATATTTTAGCATATTTATAAGGTTTTCTCGAATCCCTATAAATAGCTTAAATATTTAGATTTAAAGATACGAACACCTTTTCTCAGAAAAGTAGTCATTATGGATTCTATGGCAACGTTTAGAATCAGTTGTTTTTTAATTAGTTGTGTAAATAAAGTGTCTCCAGAGAGTCTGACATTTGTGTTGTGTGTGTGTGTGTGTGTGTGTGTGTGTGTGTGTGTGTGTGTGTGTGTGTGTGTGTGTGTGTGTGTGTGTCCTCACCTATTAGAATACACATTGAGGATGAGAATTACAGTTCCCAGGACCAGAGCCAAAGAGCTTAACACCAACATGGTTATCTTCCAGCTCATTCCTGTCCACATTAACAAAATACACAGTAAAACGCTATGAATGACATCATCCATCAGTAAACACCTCCAGCTCAGATTGATCTCCTAATATCTGAACTGTTTTTTTTTTACTTTAGCTCTATCTAGTGGTGAGAAAGGGTAACTGTGTTTGTGTAAAACAAACTTTAAAGCTGCAATGGCAAATTTGGAAAACAAATTATCTTTAAAAAATATGTAACCATGCCTCTTAACATTCTAAAATAATAGAGCTATGCCAGGCTAACGGTGGCACAGGAGTTAAGTGCTTCCCCTGTGATCAGGGGGTTGCAGGTTCAAGCCCTGCTCAGTTTGTCGCCGTCGTTAGGCTTTTGGGCAAGGCACTTAACCCACCTTGCCTGCTGGTGGTGTTCAGAGAGACAGGTGGCACCTGTGTACGTCAGACTCGCCTCTGTCTTTGTGCCCCAGGGCAGCTGTGGCTATAATGTAGCTCATCACCACCAGGCTGTAAATGGGTGAATGACTGTGTTGTGTTGTGGAGCACCTTGGGGGTCCCAGGACTCCAGAAGGTGCTACATCAAATACAGGCCATTTACCATGTGAATATATGGAGATAAATAAAAACTGAAAACAACTATTGGACCATCCTGTTGTCGTCTCAGCGAACCACCCCACGTCCCTTGGTCCTTCATTCATTATACACGTGTGCACTTAGCAACAGAACACCACTGGTGTAAGAGGTTTGCAGCTCAGTAACATCAGAGAAGGAGAAACTGCCGACTGTTACCACTTCAACTTTAGGACAAACTACCAGAGTCCAACAAAGAGAAGCACTTTTTGAAGTCACAGGCAACAAACGACATATGGACCTAGAACATGGCGACTGGTGTTTAGCGCTATCTCGTTTCATCCAGCATCGTGGGTTTCCGGTTCTGGCAGAAGCATCTCAGGGTAGATACTCGAGGGGATGGGTGAGTGTTCGGTGACCGTGTTTGCGTTCAAAACCTATAACATGTTTGCAGATTCACTCTAACAGCTTTGCCATCTTGATCCAAACTAAAGGTAAAACATGGGAAAAAATTAACTTTTTTTTATTTACAATGTTTTATTGAACTTACCATAGTCCATGGTGAAAAACACCATGGTGGGGTCTGCAGGGGGTCGAGGGCTCAGGGAATCAGGGATGGGCACATCTTTACCTGAGTCTGGTTCTGTTCCTACTGAGCCGATAAGACCATCAACTAGATGAGAGCCAAAGAGAGAATTAATGTAAATTACAACAAGCCGTATAGAAGCAGTGACCTAAAGAATTTATCTTAACTTGTTCCAATCTACAAAAGAGAGGATGTGTTTAGTTGTTGCTATTTTTTAATCATTTTAATTTGGAAATGAAGCCTTTTTTTGTCATTCGTGAATGTAATTGCTGCTATTACAGCAAAACGTTCCCACTGAGATACAATGAGGGATATTATATTCTATTCTATTCTATTCTATTCTATTCTATTCTATACTATTCTATTCTATTCAACCCCTTGTTAGTATCCAAAGACTTCTTAACAGGTTTATTCCCTGAGTTTTAATTTCAACACTTAAGCTTCATGTCCAATTGACCCAAACTAAGTTTAAATTCCCAGAAATGTTCTGCTCTTTACCTAATTCCCCACAGTCATTTGGTCAAGTTTTGACCTCAACATGGCATCACTTTATGCTCTTAGTCTCATTAGTGAAAAACAACCCTTTTTGTGGGAAAAGCCCATTCTAAAGATGGAGCACAGATTTATTTTGCCAGGATGTGGTGCTTTCTGAGGGGGTGGCTGGTGGTCTGATGGGAAAGGATTGAGTAAATAAGCACTTATCTTAATTAGGCTTTTCATCTAAAAGCAAATGTGTTGTCATCACATCTGAAAGCCGTGGAAGAAACCATTATGTGGGCATGACGACTGTTTTGTTTGGGAAATACGTGCATTTTATTTTATTGCAAAAATTTAATTACATCAAAGGATTAGAGAAAGGATTTTCTCTCTGGAGCTTACATGTTTCAACTCTAGTGTTTATGTCAGTCACATGAGTTGATGAAGTGTCCAGTTCCAGGTCCTCCACATGTTGACTGGGCTGGTTCTGGTTTTGTTTGCTGTCCCTTCCATCACACACTGTCTGGTTATCAAGGGTTCGCCACCTGCTGCCCTGCTTACAAGGAAAAAACAAAGAAGTTACCCTGCAAGCTTGAGACAAGACACACTTTAAAAAGCTACAACATGATTTTTGATAACTTTTCTTTAAAAATGTACAGCATACTGACACAGTTTGACATATTTGCAACAAGGAGAATGTCCTCCATCCTTCTAAACGTTTGTTACCTGCTTATGTTCCCTCAACAAATAGACCAAAGTGGATTCTTTTGTAGTGCTCAGGTGTAGCCCACTCCCTATCAAAGTGATGTGGCCTTTCTTTGAGCAGGCCCACGCCTGGCTGCTGGCCTCTCCTCCTACATTCACTTCAGATCTGAAGATGCAGGGCTGCAGGAGGACTCCATCATACTCCTGACTCGGTGCGGTTAAACACTCTCCAGTGTGTTGACTCCTGAGAGCAAAGCCGTCAGTCAGCCAGTGCCATTCCTGTAATGGTGAGCTTGAGCTGCATTCTCCTAACAATACTCGGCTCCCTGACGCTCCTTCTTGCACCTGCAGGCATTTCCCCAGCAGCTTGTTCCGGATCTTGAAGCCAGACACTTGTGTGAAGAGAATTCACAAAGCGCAGCATTAATCAACCACTCCAATAATTCTATATGATCTTAAGCACTAACGGTGATTGTCAGTCTGAAAAATTGGTTATAAACTTTTTGCATTCTGACAGTTTATAAAAGGAAATTCAGGAAGATAGCTGACCAATGATTACCGTAATTTAAAAACAAGATGCGTTACATTCACAAAGAAACCCACAGGGTAACTCACAGCTCTTCTGATTTTGTGGTTTGCATAAGAAATATTTAGTTTAGATTTGATCATTAGGCTGTTATCTCCATGTTGTGGGACAAAACTGCCGATTAAACAAGGAAACATGAAATTAGATAACTCTGTCAACCTTAATAAATGAATAAAATTATTATTAAATAAGAAAGGATAAATCAGACTCAAGTTTCTTGGCCTAAAAGCAGAAAACAAACTGTTGTGAAAGGATCTGAGAGGGGGGATGTGAAAGCAAGATTTTATTCAATAACAAAGTAAATATGGCATTCTTCAAGAAAATAAAACTACTTAAAATATAAATTTTGGAGAAATTATGTAACAAAATTAAGATGTATAATGAAACATATGATCACAACATGCCCTATAGGTTAAAAAAATAAAAATTGTAAGTCGCTTTGGGAAAAAGCGTCTGCTAAGCACATAAACAACATAAACAACATGTGAACACAAAAAGTCGGCGGCTATATCAAGGGGAAATAAGTTTGCATTATTTTAATTTGGTTTCTGCAGAACGGTTAGGGACAATTGAAAGTAAAGCAAACTAGCAAGTATTCACTCTAGCCTCTTTTATAGGACAGACCATTGCGTCATTACAGCGTAATAAATCCGAATTTGTTGGTCTCGAAAATACGGCAAGGAGCAAAGGGGAAAGGTGATAAAACTCGATTCTGATGTGCTTAGCCTCATAGTAATGTTGCCGCATGAGCTCCTCACCTCTGATGGCTAAACGCGTGCCAGCCCCGCTAATCCCTTTGGAGCGACCAAGGGGGAGCCCCCCCCCCCCCCCCCCCCCCCATAAAATACATGATAAACGGTATGTAATGGGTCCCACTCAGACCAGCCAGTCGCTCTTCTGTCTGGTCTCTGTTTCTCCGAGCTGATGTTTGAGCTATCCACAACAGGTAAGATGCTGTCTCTAACATTGTCACAAACATGTTACATAAGATTTGAACTATCCTAATATTTATTGTATACACAATCATTTATTAGAAAAAAAAACTTAAAAGATCAAAGGAAGTCAAAGAAGAGAAACTGTCCTGTTTTACAACCGGGGTATTTAAAGTGCATTCTGTTGCAGCAAATGTTTCAAGAAACTAAACCAAATGAACTTTTAGATGAGTTACCCTGCCCCTGTTGTGTTTGCACCTGTCATTACTAGACACACAGAAATCCTATAAACCAAACGTAGCACACCTTACTAACCTTTCGGTTTGGGAGGTTTGAGGCTATCATCGTCTGGTCAAAGTATAACAGCTCTGGTCATGTGACAACTCATTGTAAACATGTGACACTGCACACATATTATTATCATCATATTATTTAAATATTACTGAAAATGAATTGGAAAAAGAAAAAGCTCAATATGTTTGGAGACTTGCAAGTAAAACTAGTTTTAGTGACCGACAGGTTAAAAAGAGTCAACAGAAGAAAACTTTAAAAATACAACATTTGTCTTGTTTGTTTTAACTTATCTGTCAACTCCAGGTGTGTTAATGGCATAAACGTTTATAAATGACTCCAGTTTTACCTTTGAAAGTGACAAAGACAAGCAGGCAGACGGACAGCAGGTTTTTTCTTCCCATGGCGATGGCTGCAGCTTCTCCCCTGAGAGTGTGGTGGCATCTATTTAGCACCAGTTAGTGGGAGGGAACAAAAACTTCACACAACGGTCAGTGCATCCATCACTCAGAGGGGCGGGTGGCCCCAAAGCCTCTTAAAGAGGCCTGCTACTTAAAAAGAAACCGTTTACAATCAGCCGGCGTTACAAATCGACTCAAAACTGTTTAGAATCTGTATTATTTTAACCATTTCATTTAAGCAACAACAGACAGTTACAGCTTATATGCTTGACCCTACCGTATTCTAGTCAGAATTCACAAAGCTGCTCGGATGAGAAGCAAAATGTCTTCAAGAAACCAAAGAAGTCCAGTTGCCTTCATTTCAACCCCTTTGGATTACCATGACCTGGATGACTCAGAACCATCACCAGCATAGCCCTTAATGTCCATGCAAAAAAAATAATAAAATAAATAATAATAACTTGTATATTATGTTTTATTGATTTGGGACAATAAAGGTTGGAACAATCATTCTTTGGTGTGTTGGATGTTCATTTATGATAGCAATCTGATCTGCTTTAACCCATTTCGGCCACTATGCATCCTTATACTCTTTTATAACGGTCCTTTTGATCTTTATTTTTAATCATTTTTGCGTATTTATTTACTGATTTTTTTTATTTAGATTTTGTTAGCTGCCAGAAGACCTCAGGGCCGCAGAGAATGTTCATGTTTTTAAGTCAAGACTCAAGACCCATCTTTTTAGGTTAGCTTTCATCTAAATATTTGCTACAGTTTTACATGCTTATATTTTATTACTTGCTTTGCATGTTCTATATAATTATATTTTAGCACAGTTTTATTATTAAATTATTATTTTACTGTCTATATCATTTTATTTATTACTTATTTTCTAATTTTTGTCATTTATATTAGCTCTTTTATTACATTTTTACTCATTTTAATCCAGTGTTTCCTCTGTGGGGGCCCTCTGCCCCGGGAGCGGTGGTCGACTGTAGCTTCCTGGGCGCTCTATAGGTGGGGGTCTATGCTCCCCCTCCACTGAGCGCCCTGACTTAGTGTGGAAGACCTGATGCTGCCGGGGCAGACGGCTCCTCTGATGGCGTTTCCTTGCGTTACCATACTTGGCACATCTGGACTCAGCCTAATATAATTTTTACTTGTGTGTGTGTGTGTGAGTCTGTGTGTGCGTGTGCGTGTGCTTGCATATGTTTGTAAATGTTTTTAACCTGTTATGGGAATCTGGGGTCATTTTGTAAAGCACTTTGAATCACACTTTGTTTGAAAAGCGCTTTAGAAATAAAATTTGATTGATTGATTGATTGATTAATGACTGATGATTTTCTGCAAAACGTGTTCCTGATTGCCTGCAAACGTCCCATTTCCTTGCAAAAATGGCAAATAAAGCAACTTGAAACAACAATAACAACGACTGGTAATAATTTTGAACTTTTTATTCAAACATCCACATGTTTTTCTGAAAATTTTCTTCAGTGCATGCATACAAGTGACTGACCACTCCTAAGTGATACAATCGACACCACAAGGGGGAAAAAAGAACACATGATAAAGATGACGACAGAACATTTTATAAATGATGAAATATTTTGGTAACACTTTACAAAGAATGTCCCTTTAACAATGATACTTAGTGCATTATTAAGCATGAATAAACTATTAAATGAAGTATTAACAAGAGCTTAATAGTAACGCATTACTAAGCAGACACCCCATCCCTTAAGGACACCTAATAATGACCACTATCAAAAATGTTAATAAAAGGGATCCTTTGTTTATTAATGTCTAATAATGCACTAAATGATGTTAATAAAGGGACCCTTAATGTAAAGTGTTACCATTGTTTTTAAGAAACACCTTAGAAAGTAGTCCTGTAACCAGGGGACATTTTATGGAAAACTAAATGCATGCTTTACAAAAAACAAACAAACAAACAAACAAAAAAAAAACTACATCACAAAAACACAGCTCAGAATCACATACTACACTAAAAATGCATAAATATTATTTAGAAAATACACAAAAAAGCAGAATTGAAAATAGAACAATATAAATAGGTTAAATGGAATGTCTCCCCCCTTCATAATTGTAAACACAGCTTTTACACACTACCTGTTTACCAGTTTGCCTGGCAAGAACCAGTGTTTACAGCTCCTGTACTGAGACTCCATTGACTACTAATGAGCTTTAAAGTGCATAAATCTGTTATAAGAAGAAAACAGTGCTAGCAGCTCAATAGGATGGCTCCAGTCATCAATGTGAAGAACTGTGGTGCTTTTGTCAGCTTCCATGGTCACATGATGTTTTCCTTTATTCTGATGCTCCACCAAGAATGCTGTTACAGGAAGCAAACAAAAAACTTCCCCTTTTTGCCAGAAAAACTTTAAGAATGTGCCAGAAAGTGAGGAGAGATGTAAATTAGAGTGCAAACCTAATCTGTGGGCTTCCACTTCCATAAATAAAATCTGAACGTGTTAAAGCAATGGTTCAAATCTTCGGGGCTCTTTGAACATCCTCAGTTTGGAGAAATATTAGCTTTGAGACAGATTAGTCAAAAGCTAGACCAAAGTTAATAACTGCTGTACTGAAACTGCTCAGACTTCTAAAAATGTATTCCAGCTCATAATGACACTGCCACCTCTGACAGGATCATAATATTTCTGCCATGCTGTGTGGAAAAGGTTTTGGTGTAAAGGTCCATCAGTGTGTTCACATTTACAGAGAGTTAAAGATTATTGGGATTGGTGGGGTAAGTAAGGTTATGGAATTTAAGCCACCATCATCAATTCAATTCAATTCAAGTTTATTTATATAGCGCCAAATCCCGACAAGAGCAGTCTCAAGGCACTTCACATGGTAAACATTCCAATACAGGTCAGTTCATTAAGCCAATCAGAAAAAAGTATCCTATATAAGGAACCCAGCAAATTGCATCGAGTCACTGACTGGTGTCAGAGTCTTTACAGCAATCCTCATACAAAGCAAGCATGTAGAAACAGTGGAGAGGAACGTTCCCTTTTAACTCTCTAGGCGCCATAGTTTTTCAGTAAAATATGATTTTTTTATCACTATTTAAAGAGACCGTAGCTTATATCTGGTTAGAGATAGAGGAATATTGTAAATTAGCAAAATCTTCAGTGTGAGCCAAATTTTGTGATAGGAACAAATTCACTCACATAATTTGCATAATATGACATCATCAGGTGGCAGCCATATTGGATTGCATCACATTTGCAGATTTTAGTTGTTTTTTTATGTTTTTGTCTTATTTTCTTAGTGTTGTTATTGTTTATGATACATATATACATATTCCGAAGTAGACATATATAACTATGTATGTATATATATATATATAATATGTATTACTTTATTGGTATTTTGTTATGTTTACTTCATATCTATCAAGAACGCTGTTTTTGGTGCTTCAGTGTCATGAACACATTTCACTCATCCCTTCTTTAGTTTATTTTGTTTATAATTGCTATATATATATATATATATATATATATAATCCTCAATCTCAGGCTTTTCCACAAGCCCCATGCAGAACTGAATGGCGATGAACGCTTTCATTTCTGGGACAGTTACATTGTACCAGTCATTATATCTGGAGCTAGATTTCAGTTTCTCCCTCTCTAAATACTGGTGAGCATATCGGTTAGTTTCAGTTGTGATGAGGGTCCAGAATTCCTCATCCAAAAAAAACTGACAAAAAATCAATGTGTTCTGAATTGGCAGATCCCTGTCTCCACAGTATCCAACTGGCTCATCAAAATGCCTGATCCACTTGGTATCCTGTTCCTCTTCTCCCAAACTAACCCAGCTCTCATCATTATTATTGTCACTGAGGCTGTGTTGGGCCACCCCCCTGCTAGCAGTGATTTTTTTCCTGCGGTTCCTCCCCCTCCTGCTGCAATTCCCGCGGTTTACGCCCCCGGGGCCGAATCGATCACCAGCTGAGTTTTCACTGGCCCATCACTGCCACCACATCCCTCATATAATTGTCGAGATGAGTCGTAACCTTGGAACTTTGGCTGAGATTCAGGCTCTGGCACAAAAGGTGGATACCATAAAGGAGCGAGTGGACGAATCAGCACGGATTGGTATTGATTAATTACGCCATTATTGGATCTAGAGGGGTTGTAGACCAACAGAACACTAAGGCCTAGTCCACACGTAGCCGGGTTTTTTTTAAAAACGAATATCCGCCCCTCCAAAAACTTGCATCCACACCACAGCGTTTAAAAAAAAAACTCTGTCCACACGTACCCGGATAAATACGTTGTTAAGGACATGCCAGACCTGTAGGCGGCAGTACTTCCCCCGTTCTTAACCTCGTCCTTCGTCTGTGGTCTTCCGCAAGGATCAGTAATTCCACTTGCAAAAACAAACAAGCAGAACGCGCTTGGACAATTGATGGATCGGGTAGTGACAGAGCGCAGCTCTGAGGGCTTCCATGATGCCGGCTAGTGTAAACACAGGTCGCACACGTGATGTCAGCATTTTTTGTCACGGAAAGTGACGTTGCGGACCTTAAAACTCCGGTTTTGTCCGTCCACACGCAGACACCCAAAACGGAGAAAACGCAGATCTTCACTTTGCCCGGAGTTTTTAAAAAGATACGTTTTCGTGTGAAAAAACTCCGTTTTCGTGTGGATGACAGGCCAAAACGTAGAAAAATATCTACGTTTTGGCAGATCCCCGGCTACGTGTGGACAGGGCCTAAGGCAGAGAGGAATTTATCTCTGTCTGTCCCCAAAACAATTTTTTTCTGAATCTGGTGCCCTTGGAGTCTGTGACCGGTGAAGGCCGTGGAACCGTATCTAGGAGTCACTGTGCTCTCTAACCCATTATCTCCCTCTCCTGTCCAAACAGAGGTGATGAGCGCTGCCCCATGCGGCTGCACGCACTGAAGTGAGGAGAGTCCCAACCCTACCTCCCCACCTAGTGGACACTTATGTTGTGTAATGTCTGAAGTCTGTGTGCATATCTGTCTGAGGTGTTTTTTTGCATAGCAAAGCTGCCCTCTCTGTTGAGGGTAACTCTGAAGTGCCTTTTTCCCCCTCCCCCTGACTCTATCCTCACATAAACCCTCTTGATCTGTTACGGTAGCGCAACTCGGGTTGTGAATGACCACAGTCACCGATCCTTGCCATGTGTCTATGTATGTATGTCTGATCTCAGAATTGTGTGTACTGAAACTCTAATTACCCTCTGGGATTAATAAAGTATTTTTGAATTTGAATTGAAGGATCCTGGCTCAGTCTAAGCAGCCAACCACCACGACTCACTGGGAATCGAGAAGATAGAGTACACACACACACACACACGCATACACCAACACCAGCCCAGCCACACACACACACACATGCATACACCAACACCAGCCCAGCCACACACACACACACACACACACACACACACACACACACACACACACACACACACACACACACACACACACACACACACACACACACACACACACACACACCATATATACCAAGTAATGTTTCTATGGTTACATAGTGATTTCTTAGTAAATATTCTATTTGGTGAGAGATAAACTTCATTATACAACAGTTAGTTCCGACAGAGTGATCTGATTGGTCAAGAGACTTTCCAAGCATACTGATATTGGACTATAACAGCACAGGGACTACTTACAAATAGTATCACTCTGCTGTGCACAGGTGTTCTAACCGTTAATCGTTAACGTTACTTCCGTTAACTCTTGGATTTTGACTGACTTCACACAGCAAAGATGGACATATTTCCTCAGATAACATTCGATCTACAATATGAATGGTCATCAGACTCTGACACTGAAGGGAAGGAAAGCGGACCCAATACATCAGCGCAAACCAGGTGTGCTGACATGTCAACAGTGGACCTCGACGAATTAGAGAAATGCAAAAATGAAGTCAACACTGTGAGGCAGACAGCCTGGGCTCTGAACTGCTTTCAGACTTGACTCAATCTCAAAAATATCCAGGTGAACTTTCAGCAAGTTAAGAAGACCAACCTGAACGCAGTGTTGAGGGAGTTTTATGGATCGATCCGGACAGCTAAAGGGGAGCTCAATAGCATCAGCAGCTACCTCGGATTTCGGGTGGGATTGAATCGTTATGTTAATGAGCCGCCGGTGAGCCGCTCATGGAATTTAATGCAGGGCCCAGAGTTTATACCAGCTAACAATGTTTTCAAAGGAGTCATCAAAAAGATAAGAAGGGCAGGGAAGGACACAACAACACACCATCCCCCGATCTCACCTGAAGACCAGCACATCTTAAAATATTCTGCAGCTCTGAGTCCAGACAACCCGAAAGGCTTACTATTCAGTTGCACTTTGGACGCAGGGGGAAAGAGGGGAATCGGCATCTCAAACCTGACTCATTCATCCTTAAATATGATGAAAACGGTGCTAAATACTTTACCATGACGTCCAACGACAAAACAAAAAATCATAAAGACCCACTGGAGAGAGACAGAGAAAACATGTGGGGCACTATGTATGAGGAGCGAGGAAATGCGCTCTGCCCGGTTGCGTAGCTCGAAAAATACCTGCAGAAAATTCCACCTGATGCAAAAGCCCTGTATCTGCAGTCGAGAAGAGTTACATCACCGGGAGACAGCTACTGGTATACCATTGTTCTTCTGGGAGTAAATCAGCTGTCGCAGATGCTACCCAGGATGTGCAAGGAGGCAGGGACACACACGTCATACACCAACCACAGCCTGACAACCATAGCCATACAGAAACTGTCCAATGCGGGACTCGAAGCAAGGGAGATTATGGCAGTGAGTGGGCACAGGTGAGATGCTTTAAACAGACTCAAAATATTGGGCTACATCAATTTGATTCATATATAATGTGTGGCAGAACAAAAAAAAAACATATCTAAACAAAAACTTGTTCTGCAGGTCGGAAAGCTCGCTAAAAAGTTACTGGAGACCATCTATGGAGAGCCGAAAACGATGGAGCAATGTGCTGTCTGATCAAGTTAACATCAGAAACACCCATGCCACCAAAGAGTCGGTCAGCAGACTCGTATTTCAGTGAATGTACAATCAACGGAAACATTCAGATAATCGTAAATGATACAAAGTTAAGTTACAGTGCTTTTTAGAAAATGTTTGTGTTGGCTAGCAACAGCCTTGTCTTAATCTTCGTTTTGTGTTGGGACTATTTGTGTTGGTGGAGCCTGATAAACTATTAAATAAATGAACAAATCATAATCTGTTGCTGAATATCAGCACTGGTGTGATTATCCACGCATGACAGTGTGAGCGTCCTGTCACAGTGTCCCGATTGATCATGCGCCCTGGCTACTTGGCCAAGGGGATGTCCCTTTGGCTGACTGGTTAGCGCACATGACTCTAACCTGGGAGTCTGGGGATCGAATCCCGCCCGGGCCCTTGTTTCTCCACCTTGTCACATACGGCACTTGGCCTGCGGCCCATGCCTGCAGCTGAATCACACCAGTGCTGACATTCAGCGACAATGCACTCCCTCTTGTGTAATATTGCTTAATTGTATTTATCCTAGTGAATCTATAATTAAACAGGTAAACTAGTAGTAGTACATCATCAAAAGGTAACTAACACAAACCTGGTCACGGAACACTCACCCATCCCCTTGTGTATCTTTCCTCAGATGCTGCTGGAATGGGAGACCTGCGATGCCAGATGAAACGAGATAGCACTAAACACCAGTAACTTCAAATGGTGATTTTCCTCTTTGGACTCAGGGAGCTTGTCCTCCTCTGATATTATTGAGCAGAGAACTTTTCTCACCAGTGGCGTTCTGTGTTGAATGAATGGAGGACCCAGGGAAGTGTGGCGTTTCAACATGTCCGATAACCGGATGGTAAAATAGTTGCTTTTGGTCCGAATCTAGTTATTGGCAGTTTTTAAACAAATGCAAGAGAACTACTTTATTTTAGCTTTTTTTTTTTAACTTCGACGTTATTTTTATAGTTAGATATTAGAAGATTGTTAAGAGGCAAAATGTTTTAAGCTGATTTGTTTTCCAAATTTGCTATTGCAGCAAACTGCATACTAAAATGCACTGGCAGAATTAAGAGGAAGACTGTTCATGCTATGCCTGCACAGTTTGCATGAATTGTCTTTGACTGAGTTAACAGCTGCTTCTTCTCCATCTGCACCACCTAGAGACTGAGAAATGTTTCACACCTTTACCATTTTAATGTCATAGCAAAAAAATAAAATAAAAAACAGGAGAAGAAAGGATTTATGAAGCATCTTGGGCTGCATGGTGGCACAGTTGTTAGCACTGTTGCCTCGCAGCACGAAGGTTGCAGGTTCAAAACTCGGCTGCAGCCTTTCTGCGTGGAGTTGCGTGTTCTCCCCATGCATGCGTGGGTTTCCTCCGGGTACTCCGGTTTTCCCCACAGATCACAACATGCCCTATAGGTAATAAATTGTAAGTCACTTTGAATAAAAGTGTCTCCTAAATAAATAAACATAACAAATAAAATCACAAGAGCAAACTAATAAAAAATTTAAGAAAATGCTTAAAAAAGATCCTAATAAAAATGGGATAAAAATAAGATACGAAGTAAAGAAGGAGCCCGAAAAATACTGAATTTATGGAAACACCAGCTTGAAAGCATGCTAGTGAGGAAGACGAGGAAAAACAAAAGGTCCCACTAAAGCCAGAGTTTTCAGCTGGAGACCGCTGAGTCCACTAATCTCAGCCTTGGAGTCAGGGGTCACCTGCTAAGCCTGCTGCTTGCTGATGGTCAAGTCACACAGTAAATAGTAAATATAGTCTGTTCTAACACATACACATCACATATTGGAAGGATTGATTTCTAAAGCTTTGTTGTGATTTTAACTTGTTTTTTCATTTATTTTATAGTTTAGTTATTTCTTTTAGTTATTTCTTTTAGTTTTTTTTTACATCACATTTACATTTTTAAATCACATGAATTGGCATATATACTTTGTGATTAAATACTTTTAACACCTTAAGTCAGCTTTATTATCAGTGACTACTTGAGCATTCTTTACGTTTTTACTCTTACGTGACTTTTTACTCTCACCAAAATCTTTGGCAACTCCCACAGCCTAGCGCCTGTTAAATGTATTTAACTTTGATGCTTTTTCTCAGAATAAAGACTAATGTCCCTTTGATCTGTCTCAGACAAAGCGCCATCGCCATCTGGGACGTCATGTGTAAGTCAGGGATTTTATCTGAGACATTTATGGACTGTGTTATTTTACCCTGCCAGAAACGATCCAGATCACAGTGTCTCTACAGCTGGTGCTGTGTCAAAATTTGCTACCTTTCTGTAACAGTTGGACAATTTTCAAATAATGAATCCCCTTTAAAGACTAGAGTAAAAAGATGAGTTCACGCATAAGTATTTACTGCATATGATGATTTGTTAATTCCTCAACACCAAAATACACCCTTACAGCTGGAAATCTATAAGACACAATCGACACAGGACACACATATCAACACAACACCTGTTTTCAAATACAAACCTCAGAATCACTTTATTTCTAGATGAAATTTTGAACTTTTAAAAACAGCAAGTTAACAAAGTTAAATAAATTCTTCAATATGCTAAACCTGTCTTAACATTTCTAAAAGTTTAGATTTAAAATAAAAATGTTTTCACATTTCAATCAACTATTTGTCGTTAGCAACCCTTTATAATTCCTATGAAACAGATTTACAAATAAGGGAGTCTTAGAAAAACAGCTGAACATTCAGTCCTTCATGCTGTTGAGACGTCTTTTAAAATAACTTTTCCAAACATGAACAAAAAATAATAATCAGTAAAAATCTTGTATACATTTCAGCTCAGGGGTCTAGAAACTAAATCCCATTAAAGCCTGGCTCAGAACTAAAAAATGTAAAAGTCAGAAAAATGATAAAACATTTAATAAAAATAATCACAAAGTATAAACTTGGAGAGACCAAGACTCAAGCATCTCAAAGTCTCCTCGTTTACAAGTTCACAGCTTCTGTGTTAAAATTTCATGGAGCATAACTTCGTTTTAACGTAACACAAAATATATATATATTTTTTTAACTTTAAGCTATTAAGCTTCAGCATTGACCTCAGTGATTGTTGGGTTAGAAACTTGACCAGTGTCATATTTGTCACCACTCTGCAGCTCTCTGCTAGCCTGTCTGAGTGGGACTTCTCTACAGCACTTAACAATTTGGTGGAGGGGTAGGTGTTCCAGGGGTGCTCTTATACGTGCATTAGGGCTGTTAGCATTACTTCCTTACTTTTAATTCCAGGCCATGCCGCCAACAGAAAAGCAAACTTCTTTTTCTTCTTCTTGTGATTTTTATTGATGGTCAGCAAATGGAAAAAGCTAACTGCACAGAAAATAGCTAACAGCCATAATGCACATAGAAGAGCCCCCCAGAACACCTACCTGCTCAACAAACTGTTAAGTGTAGTCTCTGGCCAACAGAGGGCTGCAGAGTGGTGTCACAAATGAAACTGGTCAAGTTTCTAAGCCAACAATCACTGAGATCAATGTTAAAGCTCTAGCTTAAAGATTAAATAACTATTTTGTACTACTTTAAGAAAACAAAACAAAAAGGTTGAATAGGCCAGCTCAAATGGTCACTTTGAGAATATGGAACAGCTTTTTCCAGACTGCAGGGGTAAATACAGTTTTTCTATTGTCTCAAAAGCAATTTGTTAATTGTCACACCTGTAAACATAATTATTCAGCATCATGAGTAATAGAACAAATATTGTGCATCACAGTTGAAGTTTATCCTATCTTTTCTGTTTCTCCCCAGCCACTTGCGTCATTATTATTGGGGAAAAGGGACATATATGATGGGGGTTCCTGTTGAGCCCCATACGGAACAACAGGAGGTAATGGAGACTCACAAGCAGCAGCTACAAAGCCGTATGGAGTGGGATTTGTTGGCCACCTATCATTGAAGCCACTTGGCATGTTTACTTGCAGAGCTGGATCTGGTGCTGGGTATTCACATGCATCTGGGCCTGCAGCTCCAGGATTGAGGCAATTAGGGTAGGCTGGAGGACAGAAGTCACTGTAACTTGGGCCAGCACACAGTACATCTGACCCCAGATCCTCACTAGCAGGGCTACGAGGAGACAAGTGCAGAGGAAACACCACCTCAGGATCAAAGGCGAAGCTGATGTCCAAATATACCTGAGAAACAAAGAAAATCAGAGGTCAAATCAATCTAGTTATCAAAATATCATGTAAAAAAGAAAATTTTATACCTTGACATAATATTCAACTGAGAGAATTTCACAGTTATCGATGCTGTAGATAGCTGTTCGAGGAACCTCTATTTGGCAGGTGGATGTTATCTCAGAGTTTGGTTCGATGGGGTCCCCAACCGCTTTGAATAAAGTGTTGTGGGTGGTGTTAGTGGAACTTCCAGCACGGTACACTGTTCTCTGCTGTAAACTGAATTTGGGTCTCATTGACTTAGACGACGAGTTGCAGATTTTGGCAAAAGCAGATAAAGTGTCACCTAAAAAAAAAAACCACAACTGTTACCGAGTAAACAATCATATGGATTAATACATTACTGGTTTAAAAAGCAGAAAAAATTACATGTCATAAATCTGAGTTATAAGATGTAAAATCAATGTTTTTTGTATTATTTTGCTTTTTTTTAAATAGTTGATTACTTTGTATCAGCTGGTTCAGGTGTTGGGGCATCCCTTTATGAAAATGTTTTGATCTCTTAACAAATTAAGTCCACATTTGAAAACACTAAGGTTATTTTTGATTTTGAAGTGCAGCAGAAAATCAAAACTGAAGACATGACAATACTGTTTGCTAGGAGTTTGCAACTGAGTTGTTGATTTATTGTTTTAGTTTTTTTCTATCCTATTTAAACATTAAAATCTGATTATGCCAATGTGTTGCAGTCATCTTACCTGGAGAGCAAACGTCTCTGTTGACAGAAGCAGACATTTGGACTTCTTTCTTGGAGAAAACTCCCAATTTTTTATTGACTGACCCAGACTGAGGACACTATAAACACCATAAAATACAAATGCTTTTCATTTTTTTTCCCCCAAACAAGCTTTTTAAAATATGATTATCCAGTATGCATATTTTTATAGCATGAGCCAGTCTTCACAAATCAGGGCAGATGAAATTTTAATGAAATATGGTTTATTCTTTTAACAAGTGATGCAAAAATCCTTGTTAAACATAATTGATTTTTATTAAAAAATTACTAGATGTTGTACATCTAAAAATAAGGAAAAACTCCTAATTAGGTTTTCTGTTTAAAAGGACTAAAAAGTGAGCTGCAGCCATTGCCTCTACTTTTTTTACTTGGTAACTGGCCAAATATGCAATAACAAAGCCTATAATCTATTTTTTACAAAGTGGCACATGTAAGACAATTATCTGACCAACATCTAATTTAAAAGCACAACTAAAGTCACCACATACCTTTATCTGACACACATGCCGAATGGACTTAGAAAGAAAATTTATTTCCCTCTCCACTGTTGTTGACCACCGCCACTTCCTGGATATCTTCGCTTCAAGTTTGTAGACAATACTCCCATGTGCCCCCTTAAAGGATGATGGCATATTCCTTTAAAACAATCAATTCATAGTTGAATGGTTTAAAACAAAAACAAAACAATCGAAGCATTAAAAGCAAAAAGCTAAAAAAATCCCACTCACCCTTCAGGGATTGTCATCTTGAATTTGAAATGATGGGTCCCTTTTGAAAGAACATTACCTGAAAAAGTAGTCAAAATAATGAACAAGTAATCCCTAACTGTAATTAGAATGAACAAATACAAGTTGGTTATAGAGTAAAAATACTTGAGTTTTCTCAAATAGCCACTCAGAAATTCCAAATGTGCTTTTATTGCTAGTTTGCAGACATGGCCTGAGAAATAAAAGTAGTTTCCTACATTTTAGAGGGCTGTTTAGAAATTTAGAACAAGCTGTCTCCTTAAGATAAACAAATTATAATAAAAAAAAATAATTATTGTTATGTCATGTTAATTTACAAATAATGCCAGTGTGGGCCACGTCCTCATTATTTACTTTTCCTGGTTACGCCTCTGCTTGAACTGGTCACGCGGAAGAGCACCTCTAGAAGTTGTTTATACATTTATTCTACGTAGATGTTGAATAATACATTTTAGCTACAGTCTGAGTAAAAGCTACAGCCTCCTCTGGCTTACCTTCAGCCTTTTCTGTCACCAGGTGTTCTTTAACTTTAAAATATCTCTTGCGTGCGCTGTAGGATCGCTCGTCATCCCCGCTCCCTTCGCTCCATTGTACGTGCGCGTCCCCTTTCGCTTTGACAAAAATGCCCTTAACTTTGGTGTCTTTGGTCAGGTTGAAAGACAACATTCCAACAATTGTATCTCCTTCAGAAAAAGTATTATTCGCAGAGTCACATGTAAGTGAAAGGTTTTCTATCGGAGACATTTCGGACTCACTGAGTTCGACCTCCAGTCTTTCTGCGGACTCTTTCTGAATACGAGCCTATTTATCGCCACACCCGGCGTTTTGTTGAATTATGTAACCCGCTTAAATCTGGTTCTCTGCCACCTCTTCCTGTTTCACCATTAAACTGTTTTGTAATATCTACAAACAATTAGCGCACTGAAGTTGTGATTTGTATTCTTCTACGCCACAAATATTTTGTCGTTGCAGCACACGCGCACCGAAATCGATGGCAAGCAGAGCTTCGGACAGGACCGGAAACATATTTACGAGGTAACATTTCTGAATACAACACGGGTCTCGCGCAAATACGAAATAAAGAAAAAAAAATCCCTGTATTTCATGATGATTCCCATACTTTCTATTTGAACGGATAACTGCTGTACTTAGCCTACAGCTAAGATATTAACATGTAAATATTTAGAAAAAAACTTGCAATGTTTCAGAGTTTTGTTTCAAAATAAAATTCCAAAAATGTTGATTAAATAATCCCAGCAAACATATTTGACTGAAATGGACAATAGGTCACAATACTAGCACAGATCGTAGGAAAAAGTACAGTCTTGTCAATTTCATGAATGAAAGTGGTTAACCCTAACCCAACTTACAGAAGTTTAATGAGACAAGTTGCGGTCAAAGCGATTAAGTGTATAAATATCATTCATATATATTTTTGTTAATAATATTTGTTAGATTATTTTATATTTTTCAGTTGTGTAGCTTATTTGAAAAAAAATAGATGTAATGCAACATACAAATCATTTTATTATCTGGATCTATTGTGAAACTGATGGACAAATACAATTTATTGATTTGTCAATAGGTGAAGCAGATTTGTCCTGTGGAATTCTTGAGTGACTATGTCGGATTAAAGAGCTGACTGGTGCAGTTTCTCTGATAAACTCTGTGACTCACCGAATAACTAACCTAAGGCAGACAAATTCTGTCACTTGGCTAATAATTTCATAGTTTTTTACCATACCATACCACCTTTATTTATTTAGCACTTTAAAAACACAACCATACGGCTGACCAAAGTGCTGAACAGTCGCACATTCACTTTTACAATCACCATGACAGTTTTTTTTCCAAAACATTTAACAAGTTCCCTAAACTCCTAACACAGTTAGCACAACATCCGTCTTTGTAGGCTATACAATTTGCATATTTCTAGTTGCTTAGATACAAAATTCAAACAGTTAACACCAATTTAAAATGCTTGAACCTCTTTTACACACAGGCTCAACCAAGACCAAAATAATGTAATTCTACAGTCAAATTTACAAATGCCTTCACACTTGCGTCAGAACAGATATCATGTTCTAAACATAACTTATTTTGGCTAAAGTCAAAGTGAACAGCTGTTCATATTGTGCTTTAACCCAAATATATTCCCTGTATTTCACAGTATTCCATTGCCAATGAGAAACAGCTTATTGCAGGTATGTAGGTATGTTTTTGATGCGCTGTGAGAATGTGTTGCTATGTTATGAAGTCGCCAATATATTTCAACAAATTAGCATCATTTAATTCATTTTCAACAACATTTCAATGGATAGGCTA